TTTTCATATTTGGCGTATCGTCTGGCGTAATTTTCAACAGAATCCATAATATATTTGAATTTCCGACACCAGATGAAAGATCGTGGTTCCCTAAATGTGAGACCTTAAAAACATATATTTAAAAACATTTATTTAAGTAATTACAAAGCCAATGTATTTTTTTTCACTTTAATTAAATGTATGTGTATAAACTCTTTCTTACGTTTGAAATCAAAGGCAGCTCTTCTTGTGTTTCGTTCTTCAGATATAATACAAAATGAATAATATAACAGTTGAAGAAATTAATGCAGTTATATTAAACAAAATCATGCACTTGTCAATCTTTTTACGATACGTTATCTGAGGATATCCACGGCGATTTCTTCCTCCCTCTACATCAACTGCATCAAAGTGGAGGGCTTCATCATTGTCATCACTCCTGTCAATCTTAATTTGCTGCTTCTTTGTTTGTTTCTCGGAACTTGGGGTCTGATCAGGATTACTTATTGGCTTCATGGTAGGTTTCAACAAAACAGAAATGATCATACTTATTACACAAAGGAGCAAGTGGAATCCCACGTATATTGCAAGGAATGGAACATCAGTGGAATTCCGTGGCATTGTTTGCTCGAACAAGGTTAAGAAGACAGTAAACGTCAGAAAAAGCGTCAGACTGTAGGTTAGTCTCTCCCCGGAATCAACTGGTACAAAAAAGGTGAGGGAATTCAAAATAGCCAGTATTATTATAGGAACAAAAATTGTCAGAACGATATATAGGTATCTTCTTTTGAAATGAAGTACGTATTCTACTGTTGTCAAATGAAATTCGGAGTTGTAATCTATTGTAAAGTTAAATTTTATAAATATCCATTCACCGTTTTGATTGATAAGTTTTGAATCGTCGTTTGTTCTTGACTTTGGTACAAGTTTTTGGACCCAGTCGGTTACCTGCCAAGCACTGATAATCATATTACATTGCTGCTCATCAAATGGGAATTTCGAAACTTTGATGTCACATGAAAGAGTAACTTTCCCGCCAGGATACCAGGTCACTTGACCATCAGAACTTAATGTAACGTATGGATGTGGTTCTATTCCATGAATTCCTTTTTCAGTATACCACATTGATATGTCTGGGGTCCACAATTTTTGATAGGGAACTGAAATCATTTCTAATCCGGGATTTTGGGTGCGATTCCAATTTAGAAAATCGTCATACCACTGAAGAATAAACCAACCGAAAAATATTATATATTGAAAACGTTCCTCAACTTCCTGAACCACATTAATAGTGAAATAGAAATTGACATGTACCACCTCACTTTGATTTTTTCTTGGCTTTATCATTGAGCTATAGTTTTCAAAAAGTTGATCCTCAAAATTTTTAGAAACAGCATAACTCTCAAAGATCCAAATCAAAAGCAATGCTGTGAGATTCTTTTTAATGCTCATACTTGTTCGAATGTGTCCAAAGTGAAGATAGGTTTTAGGAAACTAACAATTTCCACTAACGATTGGGATTTTCAGATAAGAAATGTCAATAATTGTAGACATCTCTACAGTGTTCAATACTTCATCAAAAAATAGGATAAAAACAAATCAATTCGTATTATTTATTTTGAGTGAGTTGAAATAGTCAAATGATACTCTCATAGAACAATAAAATTCTTATATAATGAAATATTTATCGGCAATTAGGTAGATGAAGTAATTATTTCCTTTTTTACATATGGTATGAATTTGTTATGTGATAATTTTTCAAAAATTCAATTAAAAACAAAATCGGTTCAATGTGATGGAATACTCCTAATTAATACTTCTTCTTTTTTTCTATGCTAACTTACAATCAGAAAAGAATGCAATTAGTATTAACATTTTGTTTCATTGGTCTTTTTATATTTACATATTTCGAAAAAATAAATATAAAAGGAAAGTTCGACAATTAAGATCACAAGAAATATTGTTAAACTTTTGCAGATGATAAATTCTCAGAATCTTTCCAACTACAGTCATTCAGGGGATGGAATTAAATACAGACTTGATGGGGGATTATACCTGTATTCAATGATCAACGATAATTAGTTAATCGGCAAATCCCGCCATTATTGGATCTATCAAGAAATGTTCGATCAAAATTGAATGTACAAATGTATACTTATCAATCTTTTTACAGACTTCATTTTTACCACAATTCTAGAAGATTACATGTGTCACATAAAACTTTGAAGACATATCTGAAGAAGCAAAATTTATCGTTTCAACCTGATTTATTAAGATATTGTTATTGTTTGTTTTACCTTCAGAAAGGAGGCAGAACAACTCCAATTTCAAGATTCCATTGGTTCTTATTATTCTTCTCTTAGTCAAAGACTAGAATATAGTTTTTTGTCAAGTTAAGAACAACAATGATTTTGGATTCCTTTTCATCTAATATATTTTTTGCCCAAGTCGATCAAGTTCACATTCTTAGAAAAAAAAAGGAATTTAGTGCAAAGCAAGGAAGGAAAAAGAAGCTTTCTATGTATATTCTCCCGTGATCAAAAATTCGGGTATATATATCATATAATTTTATAAAGGCTTTGTCCTATCTATCAGTATGTCAATCTGTTTATTTGTCTGTCTGCAAAAACTTTAACCTTGCCATAGTTTTTGACTGGTGCTACTGGGGGAATATATAATCATTGGAACAGCGCCCTAACACCAGAAACTTCTGACCTGCGTCCATGGAATTCGCAAGTTTGGAAGACGAATTCTTGTTCATAAAAACTATGCTTTTCTAATATCTATAAGTTAATATTGGTTGAAATTTGCTCAATGGTTCCAGAGAAGAAGATTGAAATAGAAATATTAATGCACGTCGCAAGACAACAGTAAACTAAGGGTTCATAAAAATGATAAGCAGTTAGTATTTTCGTATAAATCGTAACCTCTCCGAAAAGTTAAAACTTAAGGAATTTTAGACACAAAACCTATTTAATATAAACAATTATAAATTGTACATAAGTTTTGAAAATAATCACAAACACGACGGAAAAGTGCAAATCTTTTATTATTTTGTGTTTAAGAAAAAGACAATTTTTTTGTTTAAGGAACTATGTGGAAATAACGAATTGAATTAAATTAAATTATATACAGTGTATATACCTATACCCTTTAAAAATAAAAAAGGGAAAATATATTGTGGTATATTTCTGGTCCCTATATGCAAGATTAATTATGTTAACATGCACGATAAAAATATAGACATGGAACTTATTTATGTCGACGTGTAATATAATTATGTCAACATGCTACTTATATAAGTCAACATACAAAATATTTATGTCAACATACAAGATGATAAATTGCATTTCAACATACATATCTAACATAAATAAGTCGCATGTCTACATAATTATGTTGCGTCTTGCATCTACCGTACGATGTCAGATACAGGCGTTAATAAGTAAATTAACCCATATTTCAATTATCTTTTCCTATAAGATTGGTAACTTGCATGTCAACATAAATAATTTGCATATTGACATAAATATGTTGCATGTCTACATAATCATGTTGCATGTTTACATAATTAATCTTGCAGGTAGGGGGGCAGAAAGATGCCACCATAAAAATACTTTAACACTACATAATATTTTGTAATGAAAAGTTTCAATAAATATCACTAAACAAGCCTCACCTTAGTATTCAATTACCCATGAAGTTTATATAGATTCTGTCTTTCTAATAATTACTAGATTACTAGAATTCGAACACAAAGGTGTCAGGCATCATTGCTCCCCTCTGTGCAACTATAGAGCATTTGTAATATTTATATCTAAAGAAATGTATAGTTTGAGGTTCTATTAATTTTTTTACATTTCAAAATGAAATGTTGTTCTGGTTAAGTTCAATTTTAGCTGTATTAATGCCGCTTTTAAAATAATGTTCATAAAGTATCAGTTATTCACAATTCAGTGAGTGATAAAAGAAATGCAACTCTTTGTGCAAGAACTTAATTCATCAGATATTCATCTTTAAACACAAACTATGAAAATGCACAATTTAAGAGATTTAATACTAGTATTGAATTGAGTTTATATAATTTTATTTCAAAAAGGAAACATATTTAAAGAACAAATGTAAAGTTTTCACCTAAAATAAAGAAATAGGGAGACAACATTGTCTTGGAATATACAGTGCAAAATACATGCTCCATAGACATATCTTACAATTTGGGACTCTAACTTATGAAACTGTTGCTATATCGACACCCAGACTTGCTTATATTAATTTCCTCAAAATAGTTAACCTAAATTGTCTAACACTTGTTACATATTTGAATTTTTATAGGAAAAAGACATTCATGGTAATCTTACGTTTACGTTAACTTTTCAATCGTCAACTACATGTACATGTACCCTTACTTTTGCAGCAATTTACCATTATCAACTGCTGAAGGGTTTATATCTCTCAGTTGACTTGATACGCAAGGCGTGCTCTTCGTATCTATAAAGTCTAAAACGAGGAAAGTTATTGACAAACAAGTTGATGAAAAAAAGAATATCAGCAGTCTCGTTTAGAGTCATCATTTCGTAAGTGCTATGGTCGATACAATGACCTTGTCAGCACGCAAATACAATTTATCATTAGTTCAAGTGCTGACTCACGTTTTTCATACATATTGTTAGGCCATTATTTACACGCGGAATTGTAGACGGATTTTTTTCATAACTCCCAATCATGACAAGGAGCACACATGGGTGTGACCGATCGACAGGGGATGCTCTCTCCTCCATGGCACCTAATCCCACCTCTGATGTTTTAGAGGTCCATGTTTACTCTGCTCCTGAATTGCATTGTCTAACGAACTTCAGGTTGAATACTGTTCGTTATCTATATATCATGCCAAACTTTGGCAACTGAATGCTTAATTTGAACTGAACTAGACACACATCTTCCAGGAAGCTATATACAGGAATACATATTCCGTTGAATAACTTTCTTGTAAATACGAGCTAAAACTTGATTTAAGACAGAATTCTTCTTTAATCAAATCTAAATTCACATCATTTTTATCAAATTCAAACTCTGATTACAAGAAAACAAATTAAATTTTAATTTTCTTTAGACATGAAATACATTGTAGTAGTAGGATATCATACAAAACTGTTACCAAATGTATTTTTTCTACATATTGTACTTAAATCATCAATACCTAAGGTTTAAGAAAATAAGCCAAACATCTTACAATCATTTACACATGCATCTACGAAAGATGTGAAATTAAAAATACAATGTTTTATCACATCTTGATTAAATTAACAATGAACTCATCTGGATATTTCAATAAAACTAGTTAGCAAACTATATCAAATCCAATGATTATCAGAAGCTATAGATAATTCTAAGAGCTATTGTTGCATTGAGCTTTCTTGATCTTGTATTTCGAACGATGAAAAAAAAACAGTTGTTACATCACTTACATGTAAATAATTTTTCTAAGTAAAGAAAGTACATTGAATTTCTTATGAAATCATTAAATCATTTTGTTCATATTTAATCAAATGTGTAATATTTAATTAAAATTATTTTAAAAAAAGCATATATTCATTTTTTAATACGATAACTTTTACATTGTATATACATCATTATTTTCAGTCATACCAGTTGAAAGTATACTGGTATACCAAATACAATATAAATATTATTAATGATGGGTTTTAAAATATACATGTATAAATATTCACAATTCTTAACCAAAGCAAAACAAATTTATACATTTTTATATATAATGTATGTGTGAGGAGAACAAATGTGTTTACTCGTGAAAAATGATTATCATTATAAACAAAACACAATTTAAAAAAAAATATGCATTTTTATACCTGTACCCCAGTACTTTTCTACACAATAGCAAAACAGTAACTTCAAAAAGAATCATATACATAAATTTGCACATAAGTTTGTTGGTTATACATATATAAATTTATCATATTTATGACAAAAAGTAAACAATAACAGATAAGTAACATGCACATATATCTATATATATGTACAAGACATACTTATCTTGCATTTATTATTATTATATAATAAGTAACATGCACATATATCTATATATATATATGTACAGGACATACTTATCTTGCATTTATTATTATTATATAATATATAATTATTATACAAAGGATCCACCTTAAATGTGTTAAGAAAATAAAGGTGACAAATAATATGTTATTCATTTTTTATGCAACAATAAAGCAATAAATATACATGTTACTATGTATGTGGTATGGTTTTTGTACATTTTATATGTATGTGTATTAAGAAAGTCTTATCAACATAAATTATCTACAAAAAGCAATATACAGCCAAAATAAAAATAAATATAACCAAAACATAACGTCATTTATTATGACATATTTAAAAAACAAAAAATAAAAATGAAAAATAAATATATTTATTATGTGACCAGCAAAATACTACATCTCATGTACCATGTTGGAATTACGATTCTTGGTTCATCCCTTGCACATGAAGAAGGAAGTCCAAATCATTCTCGTCAAAAAGTCATGTTGAACTTCATTGAAGGAAGCAGTGTAAATTAATTTTCTTTCTCGACCAGAATGTTCCTGGCAATATTTGGTACGACTTGATCTTCAGCAGTGGAGGATGGATAAGGTTCTAAAAAAATCAATACAATATAAAATTAAATTTTATGATTTTAATTAAAACATCATGATCAGGTCAATCGTTTCAAAATATATTTAAGTTTTCTGCACGTTCATTGTACTCTACGTACTTCGAAATCTTGAATTTAGGTATACATGTAGTAACATTTTTTTCAATGTATAATAACCTGGTGAGAAATTCATTTGATGCCACCTTTTTCATGCAATACTTTAACAATCGAAATTTCCTGTTTCATTTATCACTAGTATATCTTCTGATTGACCTATCAGAATATCTATAATTTACCGCTAATCTGTCGCCGCATTGACCGTCTTCTTGGTGGACCGGGATACTCTGTCTCTGGGGAACTAACTGGCTGCACTGCCTCCTAGTGGACAAGATTTTTATAAATTATACACCATAAATTAGTCACACGGGATGTTAAATTTCATTAAAATGTATATTTTAAAAAAAATTTTTATGCATATTGATATAATATGAATTTCAGGTTTCACTCCTCCTGAGAACTTGAACAAATTAGAGACATTCAACATAAGGAAGACATTCCTGCATACCTGAGTTCTTTCCACACTTTGTTGATGTTCAAGAGGTGACATCAAATCCTGAACTCTTTCCAGATCCATGCGTAAGGATGGCTCATGGTTCAAAAGGCTCTCAATCACAACTGCCACATTTTTGTATTTTTCTGGAAATTCATCCAATGGTGAAAAATCTTGCTTTCTAAGTTTTTGTATAGTATCAGCCCTCTCACTCCCAGAGCCCATGTTATGGTACATTTCAAAAAGAATAACTCCCATGCTATAGAAGTCGGCCTTTTTGTCATAGGGACAGTTGCTTTTTAACACCTCTGGAGCAACGTATTCACGTGTCCCTATATGCTTGGTGAAACAAAGTCTATCCTTTTCAGAAGATGGAGAGCCCATGTCTGCAACAGACACAATATATCTCCTCGCCAAACCAAAGTCTCCAATTTTGGCTCTACCATCATTGTCAATCAATATATTGGGTGGTTTCAAATCGCGGTGCATGAAACCTTTGTCGTGGATATATTTTAGTCCAAAAATGACATCCAGGAACAGATTACGTCTTTTTCGATCTTCGATAAAGATCTCACCACTCTCTATTAAAGTTTTTAAGTTCTTCTCTGTGCATAGTTCAGTCTTCACAACCAAGCATGCATCAAAAGCCACAGTTTTTCTTTTGCAGCTTGATGATTCTGACTTGGAGCATGCCAAAGCATTGTTGTTAGAGTTTGATGAATTTTCTTTTTCAAATATTACATCATCAGAATCCTCATCATTTTCTGCCAATTTAGTTACTACCTTTTTTTCACTGCCTTTAGAATCTGACTCTGACACTCCTGAGGCACTGTTGTTACAATCTGAATTGGATTCCTCTCCTTTGTCAAACAATACACCATCAGAATCCTCCACATTGTCCAAAAGAGATAAAGGATAATTTAGCGGTTTACAAAGTTTAATTTTCATTGAGGTGTGGTACCTCACAATATTCTTATGGTCCATGGAAGCCAATGATTCCACTTCTCTCTTACAGAAAGTCTGAGAGTCAATGGGTACAACTTTCAGGGCGTATTTCATATTGTCTAATGTATGTCGGGCCTCATAGACCGATCCAAATCCTCCAGAACCAATACACTTTAAATCCGTGTAATGTTCTTTGATGTATGGGTCCTCAAAACACTTGTCTATAATATCTTGATCGAAGTATTCACTATCGGTTGTGTCCTCACTACTCATGTCTGATTCCCCGACAATCCAAGGGTCCTCCACTGGAAATCGTAAATTCAGAATGGAGTTGTTGGTGGCCATGTCCTGATTCAAAAAAAAAAAAAGTTTTTCAATGAATGAACATAAATGATTTATTTTTATAGTCATGTTTATGTACACTGTAGGTATAGAAAATCAAATGTACAAGTATTTCACAGACCAGCTAATAAGGAAGGTATCAATGCATTGAATTTTTACATCTGACATCAAAATTTGAGCTGCGAAATTAGCTTTAAGTTTAAACAAATTTTTAAAATCGAAAATTTGAGCTGCGAAATTAACTTTAAGTTTAAACAAATTTTTAAAATTGATTCTTTCTTTAAACCATCACAAAATTTACAGATGTGTGCACATTTTATCAGATGGGGAAAAATGTAGAACAGGACATTTATTTACTGCAACGTTGGTTAACTTATTTCATTATTTATCTTTTAGTACAAAAATCATCATGAGAAAAAACAACTTGATCTATATATCGATCTATAGACTATATAGAAATCTAATCGCGAGATTGATCGAAAATCTTTGGAATGATTGGTGTGTTTACTTCCGATTTTGCTGGTTTATCTAACGTTAAAAAGCAGTCAAAAACATGTATTTTTAAAAAACAATGGAAATAGCAAGCGATTTCCCAACAAAATAATCACCCACTTCTTCCTAGGTTCCGCTCTCGAATGAAATGCTGACATCAGCCAAGCAAGTTATTAATAGCTGCGGGACTTTCCGACGTTTTCTGAAAATGTTGATGTATTGTAAATTATGGATTTTAGACAATTCAGATTTTCGAAAACGATGATTTCCTCAAAACTTTTTTGCAGTTATTGTTCGTTCTTTCGATATAAGACATAAAAAATACAATCACATTTGGATACAATTAAACCTATACAAAGAAAAGCCAAAAACAAAACAGTTTTGGATTGAAGACTATCCACGTTTTCGACAATGACATAAAAAAGTGTGGATTTTTTGACATTCTAAAAATATAAAATTACGTAAGGGGCAACATAATGAAGAAAACCAACAATATAATCCAACATCATATAATCCCGGAATGCTAATTTATGCAACGCTCTAATAATCGATCTAACCTCGAAAAAATCATGCACTATGATGTCCATACATTAAAATGTACAATCATTTAAATATTAAGAATTTGTCTGTGTTCAAAAACTATCTTTATGACAGAATCCAAAGGATAACACAGTAGCGTAGCATCTTTTTTGAAAGTGGGGGGGGGGGGCAGCCAGAGAAAAAAAAAATTTTACTTACCTGAAAAAGTTGACAAGCAAAAAAAAAAAAAACAAACAAACAAAAAATAAAAAAATAAAAAAAGGAAAAAGTTGCCTAAAGTCGAAAATCCTATTTCGTGGTGGTGGTGGTGGTGGTGGGGGGGGGGGGGGGGTAGGTTTAACTTTTTTTTCAGTGTCAACTACTTTTAGTACCAATTCTTATACTACTTTTTCTGTACATAGCTAAAAGTGGGGGGGGGCAACCAGGCTTTCAATTAACATTTCCTATAGTATCAGTAAGGTTGGGAAAAAAATTGGGGGGGGGTGCAGCCCCCCCCCCCTGGCCCCACCTAGCTGTTGCTACGCCCCTGTTACATAAGTTGTATATTAAATTTGTAATTAATTTAACATTAAAAAAAAAATATTTACAAGCATGTAGCAACGGGGGGGGGGGGGGGGGGGGGGTGTGCCCCCTCTTTTTTCCCCAACATTACTTATACTATATGAAATGTTCATGGAAAGGCTGGTTAGCCCCCCAACTTTTTGTGATATTAGGAATTAAAATGTATAATAGATGTAATATAAAAAAAATTGGTAATAAAAGAAGTTGGCATTGAAAAAAGTAGGCTTCTACTCCCCCCCCCCCCCCCCCCCACCCCAATAGGATTTTCGATTTCGGGCAACTTTTCTTTTCTGCCTTTTTTTTGGCTTGTCAACTTTTTCAGGTAAAAAAAAAATTCTGGGTGGCCCCCCACTTTCAAAAACGATGCTATATATACGTAGCTGTTTTAGTCTTGATCACGGCAGACCGACCGTGAGTTTCCGACGATGGATCACGGTAAAATCACGTTAAAAAAGGGGAGGGGAGGGGGAAGTGGTATATCTCCTAATTTTTTTTTAATCATAAGGGTCCTTCCTTCAAATAATTTCAATGCGACCCCCCCTCCCCACATGCAGTTCCCATAAGGGCTTCTGAATGAAACTCATCTTACTAGAATTTCCTACAACATCAGAACGTGTAGCTGTGTTTAAGGACAGATGATAGAAACAAGAATTAGATGCCTCCTTACCTTATTTCATTGCAAATGATGCAAATAGTAAATTTCAGGAATATAAAGAAATTGTAAACCTTCTGTGATGTTCAAAAGTCTACCCTTCTGAAACCATCCTTATTAATCTATACAGAAAATTTTCACTTCAAATGCCATTTTTGTGAAAGTTTGAATAAAAAATATTAAAATCTAAGTCGTAAAACTTATTCAATTTACTCATTTAAACATGACCTACGTTGATATTTTCAAATATTTGTAACATCTGTCCTTAACTCTCAAAATGAAGTCTGTCTACGCTGTCTGCTTAATATTTTATGATATCGATTTTTCCTCTCATAACTGCTGAAAAGCAAGTATCCATTGATCTACAAAATACTGCGATGCGGTAAGCTGTGATGGAATCAAAACAAATGGTAGCAGGTAGCAGGTTGACACATGATTATTGAAATGTAGTAGTAGGTAAGAAAACCATTTATATTTTACGTGACCTTAGTGTATTTTTGTACATTTACATTTAAATACGTCAGACACAGAATATTATATGTATTCAAATTAAGGAGATTCCAATAATTGTTTGTGGTATTTATAAAATCTTTTTTCCTCAGCTGTGGTGGGAATCCATGCAGACATACATTGTAAATATTTATCAAAATTATGTGTTTTCTTATAATGAGATTGTATACAAAGAATTTTGTTGAGATGTTTCTACGTTAATCTTTGATGTCCATTGATTTTCCCGGAATGAGTTACAACGCCAATCGATACAGAACAGAAAAGAAAGATGATAACACGATATATACAGACTGAATTGATGCAGAACATCAAATAGGCCGTGACAATGTTTTAAAATTAAGTACCGGTATTTGACAGCGACTACAAAGAAAATGTATTTCAAAGTAGAAATTTAAATGAAATTCGATCCTGCAGATGGCGCATTCTCAATTATTTGTTACACAGGAACGTACGTAGGAACAAGGGGGTGGGGGGTGGGGGAGGGTGAACTTTTCTTCCAAACATAAGTTACATGTACTGTTGAAAATGTTAATAGAAGAGCTGGTCTCCCCCCCCCCCCACTTTTTTGAGTAAAGTGATAATTTATAAAGAATCATAGTATAATACGCAGAAAATTTGGTACTGAAGAAATTGCTTTTGAAAAAAGTTGTTATCTAATTAACTAATTAAAAAAACTTAGATAGTTAATATACAGTTTGGTAAATTAAAGTATAAGCATGTATGGATGAATACAAAATTTCCAAAAAAACTATAGCAGCAACAGAAGGATATGCATTTTGTATTGGGGGTGGATGAGTGGGTTGCACTTCCTCGTTATGATTATGTGTTATAAGGGTTTCTAAATGACAAATCATTAATTATGAAAATATTTTTATAATTGTTCTATTAATTACTTTTCGGTCTTGTCTGCATGACATCTGTAGTTGAAGGTTAATTGTTTTCATTTGATGTTTAGGAAAGGCATTTTTGCACATTGTTAGCAATATTTAATTCTTGACATCTCTTTCCTGTTTCAAGATATCAATGTCATTTACTCATACTTGTTATCAACTTTATGATTAGTTCTTAGGATCGTGTTCCTTGAATTTGTTATGCTTAGCTCTACCTAATTTCAGTGTTGTAAATTAATGTATATAATTCTTTATTCAAAAACTTTAAGCCATACGGCTCATCAGTTTATATAAACAAAAATACATAATGAAGAGAGGTGAGAGTCTGCGGGGATGGAACCCCTAGTGTCCATCTGCCTGACTCCCATACTGATATACACCAACAGATATACAATATACATGAAAAATTTCTATAGCATATAATACATGTATACTATATAGGGCTGGGTATTGGCCCGAGATTTTGTATTGCGATATATTGCGATATTTTTAACTGTATTGCGATATGTATTGCAATATTTTCAGTGTAATTTAAATGGCATTTTCTTACTATATTTACTTTAATTTACATGCAGAATGTACATAACTATGATACATGTGTAAGTAACCAACACCAAAAAAAAAAAAATCTTGTTGATTTCATTTAAGTTATGCTCTGAAATGTTACAACAAAACAACTTCTGACTTACTGTTTGGCTTAATAGCAAACTTTCATAAGTCCATTTTAATATTTAATGACAAAATTCCTTAATCTAAAAAATATTGCCAATATATCGATTTTACAAAATCGTATTGCGATACGATATTTTTTGTCATTGTATTGCATATTGAAATATCGATATTATTGCCCACTGTATACATACACGTATATGAATTATATTATTCACTAATGTCATATGGTTTTCCCCTGTTCATCCAATTTTATATCTTTAATTTAATTAGCTGGTCAGTACGAAAGTGGGCGGAGTTGTCAAAATTAGATGTGAGTGGGTTTGTATGTGAGTAAATTTTTGGACAATTATTTGTTAAAAAAAAACCCAGTTTGTTTCACTTTAAGGAAACTTTAAAGTCTTTGTAAAGTTCAGTGTGTTCCATCTAAGAAATTTGTTCTAAAGTGTGCTTTTGTGAAGTTCATATTTTTGGACTTAATTACAATAAATTTTAAACTTTAAAAAACCCGACTTATCAATTGACAATTTATTACATCCTGTTGTTGCCTTATCAAAACAAACTTTCACCTTTAAACGGAAGTGTATTAGGACAAACAGAGCAGTATCTTAACTTTTATTAATTTGTTATGATAGATTAACAAATTGGTAATTTGTTATAAAAAGAATAATCAGTATAATTTTTGTTTTACCAAAA